TAGTAGTGTTGTTCTTACCTTTGCAGTCCCTCATAAGAATGGAAGATGTGTTTTGTTGGAGAAATACAGAAACTCCCTTTAAAAATAATAATATGTTGAGAATATAAAGAAAATACAACCTATATTTGATATGTGAGAGCTAGTTTTTAGTTTGAAGATCTAAAAGTTATGGCTGAATTTAAATCCTAGCCTTGACTAACACTGACCAAATTCCATTTCTGTATGTCCTCAACATTTTTTTTTAATTCATGCAGTGTGTATGGTCACAAATTATTTTGCAATTAAATGCATAAGAGAAGAGTACTGTGATAAAAATGATATTAAAAAAATTCTTAAGGCACTATTCACTAAGGTTAGAAATAGATTCATTATTCTTGAAGTATGTATATATCAATCTGTTTTCCCCCTCTTTCTTTCTCGCCTTGTTTCTCTTCCCTCCTTCCTTTACTCTCCCAAACTTGTCAGGTAGACAGATAGAGATAAAGCACAAATATCTGCACATGTTACAGGGAAAAGGAGATTATATAGCTTACAAACTCTCATAAACAGCTTGATATAATTAAGCCTTGTAAATTTCATGGTCTAATAGCAGCCAAAGATTGTTTATTGGTTATATTTAAGACTCACCATGGATAGTTTAATCTGTGGTTTATCATCATGTAGAAAGTAAAGCAAACACCACTGCTAATTTACATTATTTCAGAAAACTTTGGTTGATAGTCACACATCTGCTTTGACCAGAATGAATTAAACTAACAACAAAACACAGTGTCCCAAAGCATCTTAATGGCACTACATTTCTGACTTTGAATAAGAACCTACACTCTGGTAGTATTATTGGTATCCAAAAACATTGTAAAACATATGTTTTAGGTGACACTTATATATGTCAGGTAGTTGGCCTTATAATTTTTTAAATACAGAATCATGCCTTTTAAAATGACTAATGCAAATAAAATGATGAGTGGGTTAGGAGATAGAAGAGAATAAACTTTAGAAGTATTTTTTTTCTGTTGTCCTATTCTAAGAAGATTGTTTATCCTGTTTTGAGAAATTATCTTAATTTGTCTCTTTCTGAGTAATCAATGAAGGGGTATTTATTGGATATGTAATTGACTTTTTAAATGGGAGAATGATATTGGTAACACATTTATGATTAACTTATTGATGCTTCTTACATTTGGGAATAGAACAATTGCAGAAAAGAATAGCAATCTGTCCTTATGGCTTAGCACTACTTCTTTAGGCTGTTGAGATCAAGAAACTTATTGATTCAGTAAGTCTGCATTTTACAAATAACATTATGTTGCTTTTAGTATTTGAAAAAAATGCTGTAGAAATAATTTAAATGACATATATGTGAATTGTATGAATGAAGCAAAAGACAAGTCAAGGTCTGTGTTATATGACAAGTTCTCCTTTGAATTCTAATATATACTTGACATTGAAAAGATTTTAGTATTCAAATAAAGATGTTGTGTGGTCAGAATGCATTCAGTTTTTCAACCCTAGGGCATATCTTTTGTTATAACACTTTAAAAAAATAAGATGTATAGATCCCATGTATTCTGATTAGATTTTATGTTTAAAAGAGAAATTGAGGTATATTTTAAAAATCAAACAAGAGTGACCTATCAAAATTACTAATTTCACAAGTTCAATGTTATTTGGAAGATATGTTTCAGATAAACCACATTATTTTTCAATAGCAGGAATACTTGGTCATTTGTAAGCTGATTTACTTTTTTTTAGTGTGATAAAATGTTTCTCTAGTTTTGTCTAATAATCTGACATGGTCTTCTCTTAACCAGTAACCACATGTTGAATTGTGTTCAAATGATACTTAGTGGCCAGATTGATAGAATATTATGAGGTGGAATATACGTGCCCTGGCACATATATGTGTATAAATGTGTGTGTGTGTGTGTGTGTGTGTGTTGGTTATATTTAAGACAGTAGAAAGTAAAGCAAACACCACTGCTAATGTGTGTGTGTGTGTGTGTATATATATATATATATATCCCATATAAAACCTGTCTTCACTTCAAAGCCAAGGTGAATATTGCACAATGAACTGGGGCAGGAATCATGCAAATTATTAAGGTAGGTAAATGGGAAAGATATAAAATAGACAAAGCTTTGAGGAAGCCAGCATGGAGCCAAAAACAACAGCAGGTGTGGCCATATGGCAATCAAATTAGAAAATGCGTTCTTGCCACACAGTCTTCCAGGAGATAGTAAAGCCCAGACAGCCCTCATGGAGGGCTGATTTACTTAGTATATTTTAAGTATTTCATATTGCCTCTCTCACTATTCAATTCTGAAGGGAATTTAAATGTATTATACCAAATAGATATTGAAGAATTTTCTTAAAGAATAAAATAATTTCTAATTTCACTTTCACATTCAGGGGATATCATTATGCTGAAAACACAGTTTCAAATAGAGCATTTGCTAAGCTGAGATTGTTTTCAAACAAAGATTTGTATAGCCACAATTTAATGATATTATTTTATATAAACATAATTTTGGATAATTTTGAAATTTTTGAATTCTGTAGTCACTAATATTTTAATTAAAGTTATTTGCATAAGTCCTTAACCTGTGAAATAACACTTTTCAGATCTTGAAACATTTTTCTATAGAAAGAATTTACTAAAAATATGCTTCATTTCTCATGTTTCCTTTCCAAAACTTGTTTGACTGACAGACAAGGGCTAGCCTATTAGCATTCATTCTTAAGTGTATTATTAGTATTGTATCATGTTGCTATAATTTCAGCAACATTGTTGTGCTGTGTGTGTATGTGTGGGTATGTGTATGTAGTCTAATTTGAGAAAATGTCCCTACTTTTTTTTTTTGAGAACCCAGAGACATCCATGAAGTTCTGCCTGTTCTCCATTAGAGATATTATATCACTCAAACACATATACATACCCTTTTAATAGAGTGGTATAATGTAATATATCCTTAGTAGTATATGGTAGAATGAAGACAATGATCATATTTCCACTTTAAGTCATCCAATTTGTTTCTGCCTATAGGCAGCACCACACTTCTGTTTTCTATGACCAACTTTTTTGAACATTACCACAATAAAAGTATACTGATTCTTTAAACAAATGAATGCTTAATAACTCATGTATTTATTGTTTCACTAAATGCATTTTCTCAAGCACAATTATTATGTTTATTTAGAATAAAACAAATTATTCATGTAAAACCTATGAATTGGTAGTCTCTTATTGGAATGCCAATTTTACATCTCCTGAAATTAGTTTACATGTATTTAACTTAATAGAGGAAGGCAAGATGTTGTTTTGAAATTGACTTTTCATGAGTCCCCTCCCCTTCCTTATTTTGGCTTAAAACCTGGCTTTTAATTTTTTTCTATAAAAATTTAAGAGTTATAGAAAAGTGAAAAACATATAACCAGAATAAAGACCACTGACCCCATCATTCAGATTTTAAAATGTTAGTTTGGCATATATACTTACAATTAGCAGTAGAGTAATCCCTATAATAATGCCAATTTGATCTACTTCTAATCCTTTCTTCTCTCATGTAAGCAATGACAACTAACATGACTTTGATTTTTTTTCCTTTCCAATAAACTATTGCAATGTATGTATCTATCAAAATTATAAAATATTAGTGGGTAGTATTCATATGTATAGTGTGTATGTATGATATGGTCTATATATGCACATATATACGTGTGTGTTTATCTGTGTATTTAATATGTATATGGTATAGATTCTTCACCTTACCTTTTTTTTTTTTCACTCAACTTTTTTTTTTCTTTTTTTGGTGTTGTTAAGGATTAAACCCAGATCCTAGCACATGCTAAACAAGCATTCTACCACTGAGCTACATCCTCAACTGCTTACTCAACTTTTAAAATTCACTGTGTTGACATGTAGATCACTTCTTTTTTAAAACTGTTTTATAACATTTCATCATAAATAGATAACAGTTTATCAATTAATTTATGAATAGGTATTTATAGATTCCTCTCTTAATACCTTTTCTGGTATTCTATTATTGCTTAGGTTTGAGTAACATTTATATAATCACAGGAATATTGAAGTCCTTAGGATTTGAAGGTTTAGACCACATAGCAAAACACTCTTGAATATGTATTACTGGAGATGTTTTCTTTTTAATTATTCCTCAATATAGCAAAATGGCAAATAATTTAAGATATTATTTTTAACATCAAATGTAATTTGTTCAAATTTTACATTAATCTTTCTTATAACTAGTCACTTCCACTTTGTCTTCCTGTCATCCTGAAGAATGAAATGTAATTTCCCAGAGGCTTTAAGAATTGGAGGAGTATTAAATGTGGCTGAAATTAAGTGATTAATAATTTACTTTTAGACCATGAATCAACTTCATGGGATGCTAAGGATCATTTGCAACCCCAGAAGTATGGGCAGTAACAATGCACTTTTTAAGACTAGAGAACTTTCAAAGGTTGACTGCCCAACCTAATTAAACTTCAATCTTCTGAAACCAAATTTATTTCTTTTTTGTACTGAATTTCCTCAGATCTTCTTGACAGGAAAATGTCTCTTTGCCTGACAGCTGATAGACAGGTTATGTAGCTCCGTAATTGGAGAGAAAAGGATAGCTTAAAGCTACTTGTTTTAATGGCTATGTGTATGGCTTTTTCTTTCCTTTTTTTTTCTTTTCTTTTTTTCTTCCTTTTTTTTTTTTTTTTTTTTTGAGGTTTCTATGACAGACACAAAAGGCCTTAGCAAAAAGGCCCACTGCCATTTTTTTCTGCTTCCTCCAGGGGTAATTATCTTACTCCATCAATAGTGCTGTCAGAAATTGGGCACATAATTCAGCATTTAAATGAACAAGCAATGTAATATTTCCTGTCTCCCAGTGGAATGCTTTGCAGCTCACATTCTTCTCTGTCACTTGCTCTCTCTTGATGTATGTCCCATGCCCAGTCCTTGAATGCCTCTCTCCCTTGTGTTTCATTGCAGATGTTGGCTCCGACTTGACACCTACTTCATTTGGAGTTTTATAGGACCAGCGACCTTGATAATTATGGTGAGAACTCCTAATTAACTATGTGTTTCCCAGGTCAAGAAATAAAACTTTCACTATCCCTATACTAACTATGTTTAATTTACATAGGTTAATTTGGGGAAAGCATGTACTTATTTGACCCTATATAACTCAAGCAATTAGACAGTCATTATACTCTGCTTGTATATTATAAAATAGTTCATCAAAATCAGTGGGAAAAGAAAACAAGCATTTGCAAGAGTTTATGTCATGTATTGCTACTCAGAAGTCCAATTCATCATAATCCCTTCTATTTTTATAGATAAAGAGTGATGGCTATAAAGGTGACCACAGATATTTTTTGTATTCTTTTTCTTTAAGATAATTTGATAATTTGAATTGAGAATGGACAAGAATTGGAAAAGTAGGATAATACCAGACAATTCCTTCCAGTTTTGTTTTTATATAAACTTTTAAATCTTTAAAATTCAGAAGGATTTTATTTAAAAATGGTACAACTTAATTAGGAATGCATCCTAGAATAATTCTTTCTTTTTATATTTAGTTTCATGATATCATGATATCTTGATTTCTAATATTTATATTACTTTAGATAAAATTATCTGTATCATTGTTTACAAAAATACAAAGTTATTCAATTTTGGAAGCAAAATATTAGCCCTACGACTGAATAAAATATAGTTCTACAATTTTTTTTTATCTGAAACCTTTAAGTCCAGATGTATTTTGGAATTTAAAATGTTTCAGACTTTGGAAAGGCAATATGGTACATATAGTGCATATTACATGACATCTCCAGTGGACATTATGCAGTTGCCCCAAATTAAACACATTGACCATTACTCATAGTTCTGGCTAGGGAGTACTCTGCAATCAAAGAGCAACATTTTAACAGGAAAAAAAGAAAAATAAAAGGCAGGAAAAGTAAGAGCAAGTAGAGTAATGACTATGGACAACCTTATATCAATACAGATCAGGTTTTTCTACCAGGTGGAGTCAGTTTAAACTTTTCATCATCTAATGAATTTTTTTTAACTTTCACTTTTGATAGTTTTTTTAATTTAGGGATGATTGGTTTAAAAAATATGATGCTGTATTATAGAATTTCAGTGGGATTTTTAATTGGACTTTCCTAGTCCCTACCAGTCCCAAGTTGTGGAAAATATAAACCAATCAAGCAGTAAAGGGCAATTCAATGTGTGATTTTCTGTAGAGTATTCATGTAGGTAATATAGGTAATTTATACTGGGGTGTTTTGTTCTAACTCATATATTTTCTCTGGTTTCAGTTATATAACAATATCTTGAGGATTCCCTCTATTTAATATTTGTTTGTTACAGCATCAGCAATTAATCCGCATTTTCTAATTTTTTGGCATAATCTATTCAAATATGATCCCTGTTGATCTTAGTATTTGTATTTTTATAATATTACATTTGAAAATGTATCCCTAAATAATAAATTTGGAGATGTGCTTCAAAAACAGAAAAAGTGTTCTTAGAATAATTATTGCCTTTTGTTTGTTTAGGTGGTTGGTTTTTTAAAAAACATACACTAGACTTTGAGTTATTTCAGAATTTCCACAGCCTCTTCCTAATGGCTACTGATTTTATATTTATGTGTATTTGGCATAGTAGTGCTGTGTAACTCAGTGGTATCCCAATTCCCCAAACTGGCTTCTTGCCTTTGCTAAAATACTAAGCAGTCATCTGTGATCCAATTCCTTTAAAAGTGTACTGAGAGCAAATTTCCCAGAACAATTCATTTGTTACAGAGAATAGACTTGCTTTTTTTTTCTACTATGGTTATGCTGCATAACATTACCTTTTGCATTCCAGCTTAATGTAATCTTCCTTGGGATTGCTTTATATAAAATGTTTCATCATACTGCTATACTGAAACCAGAATCAGGCTGCCTTGATAACATCAAGTAAGTGATTTTAATTTTTTGTTTTCTACAGATGACCTTACATTTGTACTATTATACTATCCTGCTTTTTCTTGCATTGGAATAATATGGCAAAATGATATTGAAGATCAATGTACTGTCTTTCCAGTATTTGACCATTTGTTTATTATTGGAGTGAACTGATATACCTGAAAATAAGTATAATGAAGTTATCTCTTCAAAAAGACACTTCTTCCCTCTAAACCCTAATTTAAAGTAGTATACATTTTTAATACCTATATTCACGTTTGTCCTGAAAACAAACAGAAAGCTTCTAGAACAGGGCAGACTGTGATTTTGTAGAGCAATAGTGCATTGTTTACCCTGGACTCCACATTCCCCATCAGGGCAAAGTGTCCAAGTCTAGATGGTGGTTCCTACAGGTATCAGAAGGGGAAATTTTACACCACGGGAGAAAACCCCTGAAATTATGAATCTGCTGTTTAAATAGGAGCGGTTATTTAGTTGTACCCCTCTCCTGAGGGGGGGGAGAGAAGCCTCCCAAATGTAAACAAGTGAGATTGAGGATCCCTAATCTGAAATGTTTGGGAACAGAAATGTTTCAGATTTTGAAGTTTCTCAAATTTTGGAATATTTTCATAGACTTCACTAGTTGAAAGTCCCTCATCTGAGTCAAAAACCTAAAGTACTCCAAAATCTGAAAATTTTTGAGCATCATGTTTGAATTTTGTAGCATTCAGATTTTGGATTTTCAAATAAGGATGCCCAACCTTTTCTTTGAAATATAAAGATATGGCTTAGTGCTTTATCCTCTTTGAAATATTAATGCAACCTCCTAGAAGGTAACTCTCTCCAGAAGTTTCGTTCTGTTCAATCATCTTTTCATTTTCAAACTTTGTCCTTTACACTGAATTCCATTTTTCTAAGCTCAGAAAGTCCTAACCATGTAGAGATATGAAAATGTTTACCTTACTTTTTAACACTACTGAGAATTTGATTTACACAAAAAGTAGCTGGTTTACCTTTTCTAAGAAAAAATAGTCGAATTCCTAGTATAGCAAAAAAATTCATCTTTGCTTAGAGTTCCCAACATTTGAGAAAGATAGTAATTTTGAGATGTGCATTAGCCATTTATCCTTGATATCATAAGTTCAAATTGCATTTCTTATAATTTGCCTATATTGTGTATTAATTTAGATAAACAATTTCATTAAATGAATATCCTGTGAGAAGTTTTGTGAGATCAACTGTGACTTTTGTATGCTATTGACGTTATCCTAAAACAACTTCAGACAGCAGTTATGTCATCCATTTTCCATCTTTCTACATTCACTTTCTGACATAGTTTCTGATCCGTAAAGCAGTTCCTCAATGAGTGTTTATAGAAAAGCATAATACACTAAATGTGTCAGTGACAAATTTATTGATATTAAGTGGAAAAATAAAAAATCATGGCACAAACTAGGATTTATCTACTAGGATTAGTAATCTTTGTAATTCCTAATTTTGGTTTGTTGAGATAATCATCATAATATTATTGAATTATGTTCAATTAAACTTTCTTTCTAAAATACAGTGTTAGTACCATACACTCACTGTTTCTACTGAATTTAGATAAGTTAAATAGCCACATAAGATATATTTTCTTTATTATGTCATACTTTTCTCAAATTGGTATAAATTACATTTTAAAAACAATAATTATCATTTGTTATTTTTTAAAGTACCATCAGAAAGAAGTTAATGAACTTTGATATTTATGTAACATATTCTGTCAGGTTAAAAATTAGAAAATTGGCTCATTTTGACCTATTCTTCAAGTATTATTTTAGGAATTTCTTAACTTTTTGTCCAGTTTTGGAAAGGTAAAGACCTTAACTTACCCTGAACTTTAGAACTTGTGCTCTGTATGGACAAACATTTTAAAGGATTAATTTGTTCATCATTTATGTGCATTTATTTGGGTAATGTGGGTTGATATTAATGTTTAAAAGAGCAGTCAAATACACAAAAGTCAATAATTACATTTAATGGCATTGATGGCATCAATCTTTATATTATACAGCAAAATAAAACCTTAAATGAGAATATCTTGATTTGAATTCTAAATTATTTGCTTTTTTATAGCATCTGGAAAGTGTTTAACTTTGCTGAGTCTTCTTTTCATCTTCACAATGGTACAATAATGAAAGTGAACTGATTATCAAATGAACAGAGGAGTATAAAGAGGTTCTGATGATGCTTCTCAAAAATTTGACAAGGAGAGAAATCGGATAGTTGTTGGAGTATAGAGAATGGTTTTAGATGGAAGAAACATGAATAAGGGTATACTGATGAGAAAGAACCATTGAGGAAGGTTAAGAATATAAGCAAGGAAGTAATGGAATCACTGTAGTTATGACTTGAATTAATGTAGGGTATGCATCTAGAACCATGAAAGAGCATTTCTACTCCAGCTGTATTCCAGGAAGAACACTTCCACCAAACTAGGAGAGACTTCTTCCACTGAGAATGGACGAAATAAATAAAAATAGAAGTGGTACTGTGATAGAACAGTGTAGGACTGTGAGTAACTTAAGGGATTTCTACCTACTTTTATCAAAAAAGTGAGAAAGATGGTTTTCTGCAGGTTAAGGGGAATTACTGAAGAGAGATTTGAAAGGCATGTCAAGAAAATATTTCTTAATATTTTTCAAACTCTGAAGGATAATTAATTTTCTTAAATACTTTTAATTAACTATTTAAGAATTGGTTGGAAAGAAATCAAAAGGATACAACCAAGAAGAAAATTAGTATTTAAGAATAAAAATAATTTTAAATATTAGCCAAAACATAAAATCTATACTTTTTTAACAAGAAAAATTATCTATATAAAATGTGTTTGGACATGATATGAGTGCTGTGTGAGTGTTTTAAAGATAAAGTTTTATTTTATCTGTAAATCTTTACTTTTTATCATTTAGTAAACATGAAAGGGCATAAAAGTTTGTTTTCGTTATTTTTGGTTTTTAGTTTTAGTTTTTTAAATGTATTTTTATAAAGTGATGAACAACATCTTTATTGCTCTTGATAGTTTCTCTCTCTCTCTCTCTCTCTCTCTCTCTCTCTCTCTCTCTTTCTTTAACACACACATACACACACACACACACACCTCCTTTATCTAAAATATTCTTGTTTCTCCTTATTTTTTCTTGTTAGCATTTGCTTTAAGCTACTCTCTTCTTTGGCAACATCATGGCAATGGTCTAATTTCTCTACTCAGATTCTTGCTCCTGCTCTCACTAGCTAGAGGGATCTCTTGAAAACATTAAATCTAATCATGCATGTATTTGGGGTAAATCTCCTCAAAGAGTCCCATTACTCTTAAAGTCCACAGTCCCAACACAGCTTATTGAGCCTTCCTGATCTGGTACCCCTTTCTTCTTTACCTTCATTTTGTGCCATGGACCTTTGGCTGCTCTAGGTGTGCTCTCTTTTACCCAAGTCTGATCTCTGCTGTTTCTCTATTGATGTTTTCTTCCCTGACACTATGCATGACTGACTCCTGTTTAGCCAAAGTAATTTAAATATTATTTCATTATTTTCAAAAATAACATAATTTTTTTTTATTCTAAACTAACTTCAGGGACATCATAATAAATCCCTTTCATGTTAACAGAGAACATTTGTTTTGCTGACTCATTGCTATATTAATGATATACTCTCAAATAAAATAAACAATAGAGTGAAGTATGATAGTAACATGATTACAAAGGAAATAAAGTATACCAAATCTCAGGTTTATCTAAAAAAGTAATTAAATTGAATAACACATGTCCATTTTCTGACTGCTTACTTGTCATTTGTCTCTCTTCATCAGAATAAGTAATTATACTTAGGGGAAAGAGGTAATTCATTTGAATTTTTTAGTTGAGTTTCTCAAAGATTGAAATTGGAACTTTCAGTGGTTATAGTTGAAATCTAACCTAATTAAAAATAATGTATGTAAATATGAACAAAACAATTAATGAATTGTTGCCACATGGAATTATAGTATGATGACATGTAAACCTTGAATTTATAAGAAGCTTCTAGAATACTTTATATTTACCTTTAAAAGTAGTTTCTGTAATTACCCACATTTATTGTTAAAAATATTTAAAACATTTTTTCTTAACAGTACTGGGGTTTAATCCCACATCCTTATGCATGCCAGGGATGTGCACTACCACTGAGCTATATCCCTAGCCCTTTTATTTTATTTTGAAATAGGATCTTAAGCATCTGACTCACCTGGGTTTGAATTTCTTTTCCATCCTATGATGGTTGTATGACCTTGGCAAATTCTATCACACTCTCAGTCAGTTTCTACTCTGAATTGGGAATAAGTATATCTATTTTGTAGAGTTTTGTGACATTAAATGTCACACATAGGTAAAGCATTAATTTGGTACTCATATAGGATGGTTTGCTTATTTTTAACCATTCCATTTGGAAATACTCTGCTCCCTTTATTTCTTTGTATTTTTCACAGTGAAGCTTTACTCACGCTCCCTTCAAAATCCCATTAGAATATGACTAGCTTTGTTTACCATATGGTGTCATTAAAAATTATGCATGATATGATGCTTTATCTTTTTAAGACAAACTTATCCTATTATGAAAGAATTGGCTCCAGGGGTGAAATGCTCATTTGATTAATAAATAGCAGGTTCTGTAGACAGTTCTGAAAGGAAGTGGCGGGGGGGGAAGCTTCCTCTGTGAGCTTGGACACCTGCCACATGTAAATAAATCTAAGAGGGCTTTTGAATAGCTTCAGGGACAAATAGAGAAATTTTAAGGCTTAACAATACCCATAACTTACTCTATTTATTAAGAAGGTAATCATTACTTTGAGGACTGTGTTTCTAAATGTTGATAGAAACAATTAAGTAGAAATAATTCAGCTCGATGAGTATTATATTAAGTTATGGAGTTAAGGTGTTTTGGATCTAAAGAAATGAAGGCAAAAAAGCAAATAAACTTAATCTTGAAAAATACAA